AGTTCCTGCTTGAGTGGCTCGTGATTTTGTGCCTAGGCAGACTGCGCAGGAGAGCAGGGAGGGCTGGGTCAGGAAGGCCACCAGTGGGGTCGCTCTCCAGAGCGGTGGCTGTCACATGGGAGACCTCTGCTGGGGGGGGGGATGTCGTCTCCTTCCATGGGTGAGGGGCTGGGATCCTGCTCTCAGAGGGGTCATGTGGTCAGACTGTGGGAGGAGGCCAGCCCCTGCAGCCGAGCTGTGGGACCCGGGTGCTCAGAAGGAGGCAGGCACTGGGCAGGAGGTGGCAGAGCCAGGTTGGGTGGCCCAGGACCGGGAAGGAGGGGGCTAGGAGGCTGGGAGGTGGGACAGCATCACCAGGATGAGAAGCGTGGTCCCCCAGACGAGCTGAGACCTGGGTGTCTGCGTACGTCCTGGGAATGCCTGGAAGAGTGCGAGAGCCAACCAGGAGGAGAGACCCCGACTGAGGCCGCAGGACGGGGCTGACCGTTTCCAGGGTGGTGGACACGGGCTCCTGGGTAAACCCTTGAGGGGAAAAAGAGGAGGAGCAGATGGTTTTCAAGAAGCACCCTGGCTCAAGAGAGATGGGCCAGGTGTTCTTCACCACGGGGAGAGGACTATCTTCTGGAATCCAGTGAGAAACCTGCAGCAGACCCACAGACTGGCTTCAAATGGTCTTGCTCAGTCCTCAGCGTGAGCATCCACCCCTTACAGGCAGAAGATAAATGAGATAGTCTCCATTTCCCTGATTTTTCTAAGGTAAAAGGTCACGTTCATTTAACACGTTTAACCTCCTGTCTTGTGGAAGTCTGTCATACTTTGTGGGTAAGCATTTAATTACTTCTCCATGGAGAGTCAATCAGGAAAAAGGTGGCTTCCTGCATCTGCGTTTAATAACCCACTTCTGGAACAGCACCAGGCACTGAGGTCATTATGCAGTTAGCAAAGGTCACTGCTGCTAGGAACACACTTCCTTCAGATGCAAACTGCTGCTGGGTTCTGCACACTTGAGAAACGCACTGGCCGCAGTCGCAATGAGCACAGGTTTGCCGCCTGTCAATACCAACAGTTTACGACTCACCTAAAAATCTTCCTCTTCCCCTTCTCAACAGTCATGGCTGCACATGAGGGAGCGCCCTCGAGCTCTGCCCAGGCTGATCCAAGACCATGCCCTCTGACCCTTGCCCACAGGGACGAGCTCGACACGGCACTCAGCCCCAGAGGGCCTGGAGATGAGGTCCTGCTTCTCCTATTTCTCAGACGCC